CCTCCTGAGCCACTGGGATTACAGGTGTATGCCACCGTTCCCAGATGGGGAAAGGATTCTTAGAGAAAGGTAAAGGAAGGGTGAGCCCAGGATGGGTGATAGGCTGGTAGGAGGCTCCCCAGTGACTTTAATGGTCGCCAGGTCCCAAGCCACTGCAGGGCAGGGTGGTTCTGCAGGTCCTGCTCACTGTACCAGGAGCCCTCCTGGTGAGAATGTACACGAGAATGCACATGTAGATCCTGAAACWTCCCAGACAGATCCTTGATATATTTCTAGAATTACTGAATTCTAGAGTTGAATTATTGAATGATTAAATAGCACTGTAGTTACTGAGGGAAGGAGGAATGACCACAGGTACAGGCATGGAGTTGCAAAAAACAAGACATGCTGAACACATCTCAGTTTCTTTTCATAGGGTTTTGGACAGTCACATCAGGAAAACACAAACATCTCRCATCTGAATTCAACAGGCATCAACGGAAATCTTCATAATACTCTTGTGATCAAGAAGGGAAAAACTGACATGCCTCTAATCCCAGCAGCTCGGGAGGTAGAGGCAGGAGGATCATGAGTTCAAAAGCCAGCCTCAGCAACTTAGCAGGGCCCGAAGCAACTTAAAAAAGAACAGGGAAAAAATGTACTAGGTATAGTGCCCTACTCCTATAATCGCAGCTACTCCAGAGGCTGAGGCAAGAGGATTCCAAGTTTGAAGCCAGCCTCAGAAATTTAGCAACACCTTTTCTCAAAAAAATTTTAAAAAGGGCTGGGGATGGGCTGYAACTCAGCAGCAGAGYGCTTGCCTAGCATGTGTGAGGCACTGGGTTTTATCCTCAGCACCACATAAAAATAAGCAAATAAAATAAAGGCATTCTGTCCATCTACAACTACAAAAAAAAGATTTTTTTAAATGCTGGGGATGTAGCTCAAGTAGTAAAGTGCCCTTGGGTTCAACATCCAGTACAAAAACAAACAAACAAAAACCAACCAGGGGAATAATTCAGGCAGGATGATAATCTAGTCTGGGGGCTAAAATGAGCATGCTTCTACCTAAGTGCTGAAGGTTGGCTGCTACATGTCGACTGGGTATGGAACCAAGGCCTTATACATGCTAGGGGTATCTCAAACTGGGGTGGGTCCCAGGACCAGGCTCCATGGACCTCTCCTCAAAGGACTCTCTTTATTTTTTGGTACTGGGGATTGAACTCAGAGGTGCTTTACCACTGAACCACATCCTCGGCCCATTTTATATTTTATTTGGAGACAGGGTCTCACTTAATTGCTAAGTCCTTGCTAAATTGCTGAGACTGGGGCTGGGGCTGGGGCTCAACAGTAGCACACTTGCCTGGCATGTGTGAGGCACTGGGTTCAATTCTTAACACCACATATAAATAAATAAAATAAAGGTCTATCAAAAACTAAAATAAATAAATAAATAGAAATAAATTTAAAAAAAAAATAAATTGCTGAGATTGGCCTTAAACTTGTATACTCCTTCCTCAGCCTCCCAAGTGGCTTCCACAACCATGCCTGGTATATTGATCCACTATATGTCATGCCTTATGCCAAATGCTGTCATGTAAATTATCAGAGCATCACAGAAATCCTATGAGGATGGCATTGTCTGTTTTATAGACAATACAGTGAGCCTGAGAGAGAATGCTCAGCCATCCCATTCCCTATTAGTGGACCACACATAATTTTTATTTAGGTTTAGAGCCTTCTGCTTTTAAGCATTACATCTACCAGTTTTTAAAGATCTCTTTGAACCTTAAAACCAACACTCATTTTGTTTACAGCCCTTCTCAATTTTGTGACACCTGTAAGTTTAACTTGCTTTCTAGATCTTGGCACTGGTTCACAAACTTGGGTGGCAGGTAGACTACTCTAAAGCTGTTTTTTTTGTTGTTGTTGTTGTTACCGCACGAGTTTAGGACAAGGATGTGTCACTCATGTATTTTTTTTTTTTTTACTGCATGGTTTAGGACAGGGATGTGTCACTCATGTATGAGTATGTTTGCACTAAGTCTTGAATTTTTTTTTTTTTTGTGTGTGTGTGTGTGTGATTCTGGGTATGAAACCAAGGCCTTATACATGCTAGGCAAATGTCTTATCACGGAACTAAACCCCCAACCCCAAAATAATTTTTTTTTTTTTAAAGAGAGAGGGAGAGAAGAGAGAGGAGAGAGGAGAGAGGAGAGAGAGGAGAGAGAGAGAGAGAGAGAATTTTTAATATTTATTTTTTAATTTTTTAGTTCTCTGCGGACACAACATCTTTGTTGGTATATGGTGCTGAGGATCGAACCCGGGCCGCACGCATGCCAGGCGAGCGCGCTACCGCTGAGCCACATCCCCAGCCCCAAATAAATTGTTTTTATAATTGTGGTTCATAGTCTAATAGTTTGAACACGACTGCTCTAAGGGAAAAAAATGTTTTGGGGTGTTGTCTTTGATTATTTTCATTACAATGTTAAACTTGACTTAATTTTATATGAACATAAATCTGTGTCTCAGCTTAATTGCTATAAAGTTAATAACTACAAAAAAGCCAGCAAAATTCAAATCAGCACCATCATTCTGGGAGGACGATGTTTGATGGAACCCTGATCACCGCTTTCAGCCCATGCATAGCACAGAGTCAACCCTCTGAGCCCCTTGAGCTCTGCTCACCCACCCTGCATTGGCCAGTGCCAAGTGACACAGTCTTCCCACTGTTTCTGGATGAAAAAGTCTTGTCCTTCACTTTGCACAGATGYACCACGAGTTGAACGTGCAAAATGAAGCTGTCCTAACTAGGCCACGCAGTTATAGTGGAGCACTTGTAAACACACAGGCCCTGAAGTGTGTAGGATGTGGCTAAGCAACAGTCCCCCGTGATGAGTGGTAGATGCTCATTTTTAAAGACAATCAGCATAATGAAAACACAAGAATAAAAAGTCTTCTGAAGCCAGAGTGGTACATGCCTATAATCCCACTGACTAGGGAGGCTGAGACAATAGACTGCAAGTTCCAGGCCCAGCAACTTAGTGAGACTCTTGCTCAAAAGTAAAAAGGGGCAGCTGGGGTTGTGGCTCAGTGGTAGAGCACTTGCTTAACATGTGTGAGGCACTGGGTTTGATCCCCAGCACCATATAAACAAATTAAATAAATAAAAGTATTGTGTCCATATACAACTAAAAAAAAATATATTAAAAAAAAAAAAGTAAAAAGGGAACCTGGGGCAATAACTCAGTTGGTAGAGTGCTTGTCTTGCATGCGCAAGGAGCTGGGTTCAATCTCCAGCACCACAAAAAATAAAATAAGTAAATAGGGATAGGGATGTGGCTCAGTGGTTAAATGTCCATGGGTTCAACCCCGGTACCAAAAAATAAAATGTACACACACATGGTGATATGTAGTAAATCCTACKGTTAAGTTAAAAAACAAATCACATATATATAGGTCAGGAAGACAAAGCTTGATGATTGCAAAAATAAAACAAAAGACAATCACTACAGTCTTTAACTGCATTTCTTTCTTTTGCCTTCCCCTACCCCAATACAGGGGCACTCTACCACTGAGCTGTACCCCCAGTCCTTAGGCTATCCTCATACTTGCCATCCTCCTGCCTCAGCCTCCCAAATTTCTGGGAGTACAGGTGTTTGCAACCATGCTTGGCTTGGGTTGCATTCCTTATTGGGGGGTGGGGGCAGGGGTAACTGGAGATTGAGCACGGAAGCACTTTACCTACATCCCTACTCATTTTTATTTTATGTCAAGTTCTTACTAAATTGCTGAGGCTGGCCTCAAAATTGCAATCCTTCTGCCTCCAACTCTGGAACTGCTGAGATTACAGGCATGCATCACTACACCTGGCTTTGGATTGCATTTCTAACAATTCAACCATAGAGCAAGAAAAATAATAGTCTTACTGTATTCGCATACTTGGACGACATCTGGAGTGTCATGTTCCATTCTTTTTTTTTTTGGGGGGGTGGCGGGTACTGAGGATTGAACTCATGAGCACTCAACCACTGAGCCACATCCTCAGCCCTATTGTATATTTTTATTTAGAGACAGGATCTGAGTTGCTTAGTGCCTTCCTTCTATTGAGTCTGGCTTTGAACTTGGACTCCTCCTGCCTCAGCCTCTTGAGCGAGCCACTGGGAATACAGGTGTGAGCCACTGCGCCTGGTCAAGTTCCATCCTGAGGGACATTTCAAAAAGAGAATTTACAACTGGGGATTGTTCAGAGGAAAKTAGCAGTGGTTGTGGCAGGGTACCTGATCCTAAATGTCATTTACCAGAGTACTCATTCCATATATGAGTTCAAAGGGCAGAACCAAGACTTTGGTGTAGATATTTCAAGAAGGCAGATTTCAGTTTAATATAAGAACTTTCAAAAGATGGAATCAGTTGCCCTTGGGGATAATGTTCTCCTTTCTCTGGAATCATTTAACAAGAGGCAGGATGTGTACTTCTGTTGGAGATGGGCTCTTGAGATAGGGAGGAGAGTTGGACCAAATGATTTTGGGGGGATGCGGGTACAGCTCAGTTGAAGAATGCTTGCCTACCATGTGCAAGGCCCTGGGTTCAATACCAAGCACTGCCCCCCAAAAAAGATTTTTATACCTTTTAGATCATGTTGCTGATAAAAATGCAAGATGAGTTAGTTCCTAGCAGGCTGGGAAGGCAGGCAGGGGATCTCCCAGGAGACTTCCTGGGGCTCAAGTTCACTTGGCTAAAATTGGTAAATGACTCTCCCTCAGATACTCTGTTATGAAAAGACAAGAGACACTGGAATAGGAGAGTGCAAATGAAATAAAGTAAAAATTGGCCTAGTGCTTCCCAATCATTTCCCTCTCTCTACCACAGTCATTATTACCCTGAACTCAAACTGGTTAGGGACCTGGCTGTGCTCTGAGGGCATCTTCAGTTAAAACAGAAGTTAAAACAGAAGCAAGCTGCAGACTGCTGGCGCTCCACGTTGCACCATTTCAGTTTGGTTTCATTTTTCTCCCCAGCTGGCTCTTGAAACACTCCTCTACATCTCAAAACAATGTCTGTAAGTATGTCTCCTGATGTCACTCAGAGCTTTATGGCCCCTGGGCTGCAGACCTGGGCCACTAAACAAATGAAGAATCTCTGTTATTGCAAAATTATGTCCTGGGATTCACCATGAAAGGGAAAAGCAGCATTTCCTGCCGGTGTTTGGAAATGAAAAGTGGTAATGGAGAGGCAGCACACATACCTGCAGCACTTTGGTCAATGGTACCTTGGAACCTCATTAATTTGGAACCTTATATTTAAAATGTGTCATGTGGACAAAAAAGACTGACAGAAACACATCCAAAATCTCCAGGCTCTTGTACRGATCACTCACTGCCATCTCCTTTTCCTTCCAGCACAGCCATTTCTTTCTTCCTCCTTGGCCAGACTTGGTGGGACAGCTGTCAGTGCTTTGCTGTTCCCTCCCTCCTCRACTCACTCACATCCTATGCAAGCAGAGGCATCAGGACTTTGGCCCCTGCACTCTGCTTGCTGGTCATGCCCAAGTCACCACTGATGTCCTTGCTAATAAATCCAACAGACTCTCTGATCATTCCCTCCTCCTTGAAATTCCCATGAATTTTCTCCCACCTCTTCTCCTGTGGGCACCTCTTCCTTTACCATCCTTTAAATACTGAAAAACCTCAACATGTGTCCTTCTCCTCACCCAATATCATTTCCCAAGTAACCAAGCCCACTCACTTGGCTTCCAGAACCTTCCATGTGCAGGCTGGCAACTCCCAGGTCCCGTGTGTTCAGCCAGTCCTTTGTAGGCTTCTACTTCAGCTGGCCACAGATACTGCCAGCATGGGGCATCCTTCCTGGCCTTCCCACCCTCAGTCCCCACAGGCCTCTTTCTAGACCCCTGAAGGGCCTATATTTTTGTTGCTGCCTTCCCTTGCTTACAGCCTCTTCTGTCTTTTCAATGCCTAATGCCTTATCTTTCAGGTCTCAGACTATTTTTTTCCCAGCAAGATTTATTAACAGACATTGTATAACAGGTATGCCAGGTCCTCAGAGGCCTTTCTGGACCCCCCGAGATGAGGTTTACTCCTTTAGTTTGCTAGCCACCGGTTAAATAAATAATCATGTGCCCTAATGTATGGGAGTATGGATGAGTTCCCCAGGTGGCCATGTTGTCTTCACTGAACTGGTGACACCAAGTCCCTCAGTACCCAGCACAGGGACACATTCCATGTCTGAAGGGTGAAAAAGTACTTCTGGCTAAACCAGCCTCTCTTCTGGTATTTTCAATCACAACAAAATCTGAGTATCCTCTTCATAGTAGATCATCAAGTTCTGATGATTCTACCTCCAAATTAGACATTTGTCTCTAGTCTTCTCACCACTCTTGTTCCCATGGCCATGGCCATGATCATAGTATTAACTACCCTCAGCTCAGACTGAAATACCATTCCCAGCCTCCAGAATGGTTTCCAGCCCCTGGCCTCGATCCCTTTTACCCAGCCTCCACAATCTGGTCAGAAAAATCTGTAAAATGCAAATCCCACCCTGCCACTCCCCTGATCAAGCCCCTCAATAAATTCCAGATGCTCTTATGATAAGCTTAGAAAGTCCATAGTGCCTCCTCTTGGCCCTTCCCCCTCCTCCCTCTCCCACTTTATCTCTGGCCCTTCCATCTTTCCCAGCATACATTTGAGAATTTTTCACTCCTAGAATTAAAAAACACYACACACTCTCTGATTTGGAACATAAAGCTGGCTCTCTCCCATTTGTCTGGYCATTTTAATTTCTTCAGAGTTCCTTTGTAATTCATTCTGAGAAAGCTTGTAATCCCAGCAACTCTGGAGGCTGAGGGAGGAGGATTGCAAATTTGAGGTCAGCCTGGGAAATTTAGTGAGGGCCTGTCTCAAAATAAAAAATAAAATGGGCTGGGGTGGAAAAGTACCCCTGGGTTTGATCTCTAGTAGCTCCCCATTACCCCCCCCMAAAAAAAGCCTTTCCTGACCTTCCCCATGTCTGAGACAGGTGACCTTGCCATGTGCCTGAATGTACTCCCCAGGACACCCTTCATAGCACTGACCCCACCACAGCCACAGGGCACAGAGTATGTCTCTGACCTATGGGGTCTTTCTACAGCTAACTGGAGGGCAGGGGGAACACAGTGTAACAGGCTGGCCTACTGGTCCTTTCACCAAGAACTGCCTTTGTGCATGTGTGCGTGTGGTCCGAATCCTAGCCCATGCTAGGCAAATGCTCTAGCTCTGAACTATACCCCAGCAAAAACACTGTCCTTTAATACACAGGATAAGAGAAAAGAGGCCCATAAAAATTCCACAACAGCAGACTTTAGGAAGCTTCCCTCTGGGAGAGAACTCCCAACTCCACACCTAGGCCTTAGGAATGCTCAGCCTTTTTGCCTTCTGGGCTCCTACCACCCTGACCACTGGCCTCCTTGGCCTTCCGCTCTGGTATTTCCCCTGGAGGAATTTCACTTTGCGCAAACAGTCCTTCTGTTGGCTATTTTGGTCAGCTTGGCTGGGCTGGGAGCCAACAAAGCAGTTTCTAAGCCCATGCTTTCCCTGTTGCTTGGAAGAATTCAGAGCTGGTGAGGGAAAAGCAAGCCATGGCTGGTTTTAGAGAACAAAGCTGGGCCTCAAGGGARGCTGACAAGAGAATTAGCTTGGATGGAGGGAGCAGCAACCTAGGTCATGAGAGACTCCAAACTACACTGAACATTTTTGAAAAGCAAATCTCCAACCTCACAATAGCGATTATAAAAGAGCCCAGTAACAGACAAATTTCACTGATTTTAATTAAATGAGAACAACTCTGGGCACTGGCTGGCTAGTGCCACTGGCCAAAAGAGGAAGGAGAGTAGGGAACAGATCTCTTCTCTGCCTAGATACTTAATTATGCCTCCTGTCTTCCCCGTCCTGAACTCTGACCCCACAACTCAGTCTGTGGCCCTATGTGCATCCATGATTTATTTCAACAAGAAGTTAAAATTTCCTTCTTTAGTTAMTAGCCATTAATTCTCTCCTCTTCAAACAAAATTCCTTGCTAGTTACCTACAATGGGCAGTTCCTGACTTCCAATGGTTTGGCTAATGATTTTTTTTTTAAATATATTTATTTTTTAGTTGTAGTTGGACTCAATCTCTTTATTTTATTTATTTATTTATTTTTTATGTGGCGCTGACGATCAAACCCAGGGCCTCACACGCAAGCGCTCTACTGCTGAGCACAACCCCAGCCCTGGCTAATGATCTTTTGACCTGATAATGCTATGAAGTGCACCCAAACAATCAGTGACTCACTTTCAGGACAGTATTCAATAAATCACATGAGACATTCAACACTTTATTATAAAGTAGGCTTTGCAGTAAATGATTTTTTGTCCAACTTCAGGCTAATGTAAGTGTTATAAGCCAGTTTAAAGCAGGTGAGGCAAAGCCATGACGCTCTTTAGGTTAAGTGTATTAAATGTATTTTCAACTTACAATATTTTAACTTACTGTGGATTTACATAACTCCATCACAAGTAGAGGAACATCTATACTTGCTGTTTTGTTTCTAATTAGTCTCCTGCCACTCTTTCTTGAACGTATTCCAACCAGGCTATACGCTCCCTATTCATGCTGCCCAAACTGCTCAAACCACCAGAATCTCAATGCTGCTGAATCTAATGGCTAATTGTTATTAGACCTCAGACTTCATCTTTTGTGTTGATCTGACAGCTGGGGGTTCTTCTTCCATGACCCACTCTTCACTTGGCTACCAGGACATCCATACCAAGTTGGCCTCTTACCACTTGGGCTACTTCTAAATCTCCTTTGCTAGTTCTTCTCTAAAATTCTAAGAGCCCAGTAACAGTAAGACGAATTTCACTGATTTTCATTAAGTGGTTGGGCTATCCCGGGGATCAGCCCCAGGACCCATCTTTCTTCTGCCTACACCCGTTTCCTGGGTGATTTTACCTAGTCTTATTGCTTTAAAAACCAGTAATATACACATTACTATATAATGATTATTCCCAAATTCTATCTGCAGATTTGTTATCAAAATGTCTACTGACATCTTCACTTGAATGTCGTAATAAGTATCTCAAATATTCCTGGCCCTAAACAATGTTCCTGATAACTCCCTAATTCTGAGCCTCCTTCAAAACTTGCCATTGTAGCCATGAGTGATGGTGCACACCTGTAATTCCAGTGGCTCAGGAGGCTGAAACAAAAGGAAYTCAAGTTTGAGGCCAGCCTGGCAATTTAGTGAAGCCTGATACAACTTGAGACCCTGTCTCAAAATAAAAAATAAAAAGTGCTGGGGAATGTAGCTGAGTGGTAAATTGACTCTGAGTTAAACTCCCAGTGCCCCAAAAAAGCAAAACAAAAACAATAATATATGGTGAATGCTAACTCCATTCTTTTAGCTGCTAAGCCCTAAAACCTTGGGTGTTATCTTTGATTTATTTGTCCCACCCTCCACATTTGACAGCAGACACTTTCAGCTCTACCTTCAGAATATATTTGAATATTTATCACCTAGATCCACATTGTCTTTCACCTGGATAACTGAGAAAGGATCATAGCTGGCCTTCTGACCTTGACCTTGTCAATCTGTTCTCAACAAGCATCAAATTTACACAAAAATCTTTTTATTCTTTTGCTCAGATTCCCCCAATAGTGTCCCATTTCCCAAAGAGCCAAAGTTCCCACTGTGTCCTTATGTGACCTGGCTCCCTTTCTGACCTATCCTGCTGTCACTCTCCCTCCCTCCAGCTCCAGCTGCTGGCTTCCCTGTTACTTTAGAACATACCAGGTGCGGTCCCTTGTCAGGGTCCTCTTACTTGCTCTTATGGTTGCTGGAGGTCTCAACCTTCTCCCCTCACTCCAGATTGGGCATAGCTCATTCTCCTCCCCTCTTTCAGGGAACCACTCAAATGTCATTGAGATCATCCCTGATTACCATATGTAAATCCCCCCCACCCACACACACATTTTTCCTACCCTCTCTCTTCTATATTTAGCACTTACTTTTTGTTTGGGGTGGGGTACTGGGGATTAAAGTCAGGGGCACTCAACCACTGAGCCACATCCCCAACCCTATTTTATTTTTTTATTTAGAGTCAGGATCTCATCGAGTTGCTTAGTTCCTTGCTAAATTGCTGAGGCTGGCTTCAAACTCCGGATCCTCCTGCCTTAGCCTCCCTATAGGCCTGAGTCAGTCACCAGGCCTGGTGTTCTTACTTTTTTTTTCCCCTCCTTCTTCTGGTATTAGTGGTTCTGGTATTAGGGATTGAGCCCTGGGGCACTTTACCATTGAGCTACATCCCCAGTCCTTTTTATTTATTTTGAGACAGGGTCTTGCTAAATTGCTAAGGTACTTGTGATCCTCCTGTCTCAGCCTCAGGAGTGGCTGGGATTACAGGTGTACACCACCCAGCCTGGCTAGCACTTCTTACTTTCAAACAAGTATCTATCAGTTACTTATTTATTGTCTCCCAGTAAGAATTGGAAGTTTCCTAAAGATTCTCTTATTCACTGATGTACCACCCCTAGTACCTGGCCCTTCAGTACTTACCAAACATTTGTTCAATAAATTCTGGAGGGATGTGGAAGGGAGAATCTAAATAAGAGTGTAGGAGCTTTAAGAACCAAAGCAGAAACCCTGCAGATCTGCATATCCTGATAGCAGGTGAGGATCCACTCCCAAGTCTGCTCAGCTGATCCAGTTCCAGATAGAACTCTGTGGTGTTGGGGATTGAACCCAGGGGCGCTCAATTACTGAGCCAAATCCTCATGCCCTTTTGAGATAGGGTCTTGCTAAATTGATAAGGCTGGCCTCAAACTTCCAATCCTCCTGGTTTAGCCTCCCCAGCTGCAGGTATTTTAGGCATGTACCACCACCCTAGCTCCAGATGCAACTCTCAAGCCCACCAGTCTCTTCACATTCGGGTGCCAGCCTGATGTGAGCCAGTGGTCCAGTCTTGTTCCTGAACAAATGCTTCAATGAACACACCTCACCACATACTAGGTACTACATTTCAGGGTTTCTTTCAACTAACAAGTATAAAGGAATGGAGGGGTAGTTAAGATAATGAGGGCATCTGAAATATGAATACCTCACCTAGGTCCACCCTAAATTCCTCTTCCCCATAGGAGACTTATTTGCATTCCCACCCTGCTTGAAGAAACTAGGAAGAAATGAGGGACACAGACAGCAACGGATGGAAACTCCTCACCCAGACCAAAGCCGCCCCAAGAAATAGTGCAGGGCTTTTCTGTCAAAGAAAAGCATTCTGTCTTAGAGAACAGGAGGAAAAAAGAAAGCAAGATACATTTTTTTTCCCTTTGAAGAATCTCATTATGCACAAACACTGCTTCCTCTACTCTGGCAAATATATTATTTGTGAGTCACTCCCTACATTCACCCCAGGCTACAATCTGCTTCAGAAATGAGTAGTGACTTCATTTCCCCTGAGAAGAGAGGGCGGGCTTAGCGTTTTCTTTTTTGAAGGCTGGGAAATGTCTTGGTCTGTTTTTTTCCTAGGTTCATCTGAGAAGATTTCCAGTTAGACATTGACTGAAGAAAGAAATATTTCACTTTCAATCACATGGTCCTGCTTGCTGTCTCTTATTCCTTATTCACTCTCTCGGAGGTCACTTTGTGATTCTACCAAATCCCACAGGAAAGGTAACAAGCCCAAAGAAAAGGCCCTAGAAAGATCGCTTTTGGAAATGTGCAAACCAGTAACTGCTGGCTCTTCCAGAGCAACATTCACCCTGTGGCTACAATGAAAGACCACCTAACAGTCTAATTTACCAAGTAGGGGCAAATCAGCATCTCAGAGCACTTAGCATCAAATAACAGTCACCCAAGCTAAACCTCTGCATTGCAATGTGGAAGCTTCTGGCTAGATACAGCAAGCAATTCTGAAACGAAATGTAGCTAAGGGAAAGAGTTACCCAATGAAGGATTCCAGTGGCTGGGCCTCCAAGCATGCTTGTCCTGTGATGCACACAGCCTTGACATCCCAGCACTGCTTAGAGCTCTCTCGGGCACACTGAGCAACTCCCAAAGCAAGCGCTCTGCCAGTTCATATCCCCTTGCTCTGGAACAGAGCTCATCTCCCAAAAGCACACCTGCCAGAAGTCCATTCTAATGAAAAGCACAGTGATCTCCATGCCATTGGCAGCCTCAGGGAATCCAGAAGACAGGTAGTAGAAGCCAGACTTCCCCCAAGCTGCTAGTGCTGACTCTGAGCTTGCTCCAGGGCTCTTTTAGCCTCGTCCCAGGAGGCAGTGGAAAACTCAGTTTTCCATTTCAGAGTCTGTCAACTGGAACAAATCCACCCACAACACCTGGGAGCATCTCCTCTTAAGCAATCTCCAATTCCTTTCCTATTTAATCTGACAATGCCCTTGAGTCAGAAATGTCCCATAGATTTGCCTCTTTGCTCTTCTTTCCACCTGGTTCAAAAGATTACTGATGGAAAAGTGAGACCCCTTCCACCCTAAAGTCCTAAAAGAAAGCTTCCTGCCAAAAAGATCTACTGGCAATGGAGAAAGAGCATCCAAAGAGACAGACTTTCAAATACATTTCAAAAACAAAATTAAAGTGCTGGATTTATGAAGGAGAAATAAAAAGAAAGCTCCCCACCACCACCACCACCACAGGTCATGATKAAGTATTCAAAGGGGGCAGAGTAAAACAAGTACATTTCATAATGATGTCCATTTCTCAGCCTAGAAATTACTGGTCTGGAACCAATGACATGCCTGTAATCTCAGCAACTTGGAAAGCTGAGGTGGAAGGATCACAAGTTCGAGGCCAGCCTCAGCAACAAAGAGAAACCTGTCTCAAAAAAAAAAAAAAAAAACAGCTGGAGATCTAGCTAAGTGGAACACCACTAGATTCAATCCCCAATACCTAAGAAAGAAATAAAGGAAGGAGGGAAGGAAGGAAGGAAGGAGAAAAGAAAGGGAGGGAAAATACTGGAAATTACCCATAAGGTAAGCATTCCTGGTTTAGAACATACTGGGGAGAAATTCATAGATTTGTTAAACTGCCCAAAGGGATACTCCAGACATACTACCCCAAATCTCAAGAAGCATATAACCTTCTGCCACCCACAAGGTTTAAAATTGGACCATGTAATCCCATATAAACTACAACTGTTCATACTACTTCATCCCTAAACTTCCTAATACTCCACACAATCTTTATTGACTTATTGGTACTGGGGATTGAATCCAGGGGTGCTTTACCAATAAGCTACAACCCCAGCACTTTCTATTTTTCATTTTGACACAGGGCCTCCCTAAGTTCCTTAGRGCCTTGCTAAATTGCTGAGGCTGGCTTTGAACTTTGCGCTCCTCCTTTGCTGGGATTATCCACTTATGCCACCATGCCTGGCCTCCATACAACCTTTAAAGCAATGTCTCTCTGCCTCCTTCAATGTGTGGCTACTGCTCASTTGATCCAAAATAATTCCTTAATTTTTCAATGTTTGCAAGCAGGGCTTCCAATCTGTGTGTATTCAGAGAAAAGAGAAGGGAAAAAATAACTCTCGGAACATGCCACACTTCAATCATAAAAATGGAAGTGGGCAAGGTCTACTTATCAAACGAAAGCCAATATGAAGGTCTACTGGCTGACTACAATAAGTTTAACATGTCATCATAAGGGCACTAGTTGGGCAATAATTGCTTAAAGTAAGCTTGGGAATTGCCACATACCTATAACAAAGGACTGTTCGTTGCCTGGCTCAAGGAACCCTGCAACTTCTCCAAAAGACAACAGAAAAATTAAGAAATTTAAAGTCAAGATATCGAAATGAACAAGCCTACCTACTGGAATGCCTTTACCCAGATATTTGCCAAAATACGCTCATAGCTTCTTTCCTCCTCTTTGACAGGCCTCYAGAGGGTGAGTTCTGAGAGGGAAAGTGGCCAGTCTACGTGCTGTCCACAAAGATGCCAAACTTTTCATCCAGGAGCCAGTTCTCCCTGCTGGGCAGCCAGGGAATATCCAATTATCAATGTACTCTTTGTGGGTCTCCTTGTCAGAGTCTGTGTCTTTAGGAGCCTAGTTCAGGAGGCTCATCATTATCTAGGACCAGCTTTCTTTTCCTTATTGTGGATGCTTTTAACCAAAGAGTTTAAGCCTCTGTACAATCAAGTGGTACTGGAATTAGAAAACTCACCAATGGCCCTAGCCAATGAGGATCCATTTCCAACTGGTATTAAAGCCACTGAACACTGATATCATCAGCCCAATAGATAGGTTGTCTGACAGATTTGCCCTCTTCATCATACACAGGAATTTAAAATAAAGTAAGACACTGAGTTATATTCATTATTGCAAACAATGGATTTCTGTGTGTTAGTAATCTAAATTACTGCTGTGGTCTGGGTTCCACCATGATTCTTTCTGTGGCCTCTGTGAGCTGGCCAACACTRTAAACTTTCTAGTCCTAAAAATCTTTTCCAAAATACCAACTCAACACTTAGCCCTCCTCTATGATACTGACTGCCTCCTAAGATACAGCATAAAACAAGTTTTAGACAGTGTGTGCCTGTACATCCTTAAGCAGTCAGTGGCCTTCTACCTGCAATGATCTGTATAAGTGTGACCTTGGGCCAATTCATTGCTCACAGCGGAGTCCTGGTCCATTCCTTTTTCCAGGAAGCAATAGTGAGTGAATAACCTCAGAAGGACAAGAAAAGCCACACTTAGTCTCCATGGGTCAAGTTAACTAACAAACATGACAAGATACTGGAATCAAAACCAAGGAATGCATTGAGGACAGGTTTCTCAGCTGCTGAGAAGACACACTTCCTTTTGAACTAAAATTAGAAAGCCACTGGGAAGGAAACATAAGCCAAGAAGCAAGGATAGGCAGCTGAGAACCATTAAGTCAGCAATGGGGATGGAGTGGAGTGAAGGAAGGAAGCTGGCTTCTATTTTGTTTTATTCTTTAAATCRTCCCTCAAGACTGACTGTATCTGGGCTTTGGGATTTCAGTAGTCTCCCCAACAGGGGTGTAACAAACAGACTGGGAGCTGTGTCAACAAGTTCTCAAACTTCTCATAATTCCAAGAGCTTGCAGATATTTAGGTGGAAGTTCAAGGATCCAAGTGAAAGCATTTAAAAGACGATTTTGTTCAGTCCCAGGCCCACGGCCATCTGCCCAGGAAGTGCCCTGTGGTCTGACACCATTTCCTGATTGGGATACGTCAGTAAGCAGACTGAAGTCTATGCCCAGCAGTGCCCATCTGGTTGGCACCGTCTAAATTTCAAGCATTCCCACTCCTCTCGGTCCCGCAGGCCCTGAATCGCCTGCGGGCATTTAGAGTTGTAGTGTGGAAGATCTCCCCCACCCCCAGACACAGTCGCGAGCCCGAGGGGTGCCAGGCGCCTTCTCGGAGCAGACCCAGACATTTCCATTAGGCAGGCGGTGCAGAGGTCAGCCAGCGACTCTGCTAAGGGCGAGCCAGGCATGCCCGGGGTGCCAGCTTCTCTCGCCAGCCCCCGGAAGCGCCGCCCTCCCGCCCAGCGGGCTCCGAGGGGGCGGGGAGTCGAACGCCCCCTTCCGGGTGCCTCCGCCCGGCTGGCCAGCCGCGCTCCTCCTCCGGGCGGGAATCCTCCCTCCCCCGCCCCTCCCGTAGCCGGGCCCCGGTGCCAGGCCCAGCCCCAGGGGGGAACCCCCGGCCCCGGCTTCCCCTCCCCGCGGCCTCTGCCCGTCTTCCCGACCCTTGAGGGCCGGGAAGACCCCGCCGGCAGAGGCCAGGACCCACCGCTCATTACGACATCTTCCTCCCTGGCCTCCGCCGCCTCCGCCGCCACCGAGAGCCTGACACCGCCCGCCTAGCGCCCGCCAATCCCGGAGCCCGCCACCACCCGAGCGACGGCAAYATTCACCAATAAACGTTCGGCACATTGGGGACCGACAGCACTGCTAACCAATAAGTGAGCGTCATCTAGAGCGACGTTGGTTTGGCCAATAAAGTTACGAAGTGTCACTGATGGACTGTAGAGAGTACCAACCGGAAGCCTACTTAAGAATGAACGACATATTCATCAGCCAACTAGCTGAAGGCAAAGTCCCGCCTACTAGATGGTTGATGGACAGCAACAGGAAGCTGGATGGGGAGGGGCTTAACTGAGGAATGTTTTGTTATTGGTCGTGATTGACCTTCCACCCACCTCTAACCCAGAAGATGAGTGATAGATCTGCCCTAAAGCCAATCAGAAGTCCTTAGGGTAAGGCCAAGAAATGCCTGTATAAAAAGCGTATACATTGGGCCTTACATGCTGTCTGGCCCAGGTAAGGTAGTGGTTTCCTCCTCCTCTTGTTTCCGCTKCAGTCGGCTACCACTCTACCCCTTGCCTGGTGAGTGGAAAGCCACCTTTCTAAGTGCCTTCCTTGCTATCGCCTTGGAAGAGGCGACTTTGTACAGTGACGCACTGGAGCCTGACACCGTGACCGGAGTTTGGGTGACACTTCTGAGATGGAATTTTTATTTTATCACAAGTCCCTCTTAATCCTCAGCAGGTTGTCTCAGGGACTCCCGCTAATCCATGACCCCCCAAAACGGGCGCGTCAGAATCATCTAAGCTCTTCCTAAAGCAGACTCCTTGAGACGCCACTCTTAATAAGATGTGATACTTTAGGGACGTGTTYAGAAGCGCCTCAGGTGGACACAGTTGCAAACAGAAGTTTAAGAACTCCGGCTTGGTCTCAACCCCCTTTCCTCGAGGATGAAGTGAAGCACTTGGTAGGCATCATCTAGGTAGGATTATTTTTCTTTTCCAAGCCTCTCTCCTGTGCACGATTAATTTAGGAAGGCTGCCTGGCATCCGTCCACTCCAGCTTCAGACCAGCCCAGTTTGGTAACCTCGACSTATCCCATTTACAGAGAGACCTTAGGTAGGTAAACAAAAATTCCCAGAGTCCTGTGGCCTCGTGTGTATAAGCCAGGCTGATCACACCTACACTTCAGAGTAGTAGCTTTCCTTTTTTAAAAATCRTAAGCCAGGGGCTGGGGATGTGGCTCAAGCCATAGCGCGCTCCCCTGGCATGCGTGCGGCCGGGGTTTGATCCTCAGCACCACATACAAACGAAGATGTTGTGTCCGCCGAAAACTAAAAATAAATATTAAAAAAAATTTCTCTCT